ATAGCAATGCTGCGTTTGGCACGAGGAACACAAGCAGGATACAGGTTGTCCGCGGTGTCACTAGTGTGATCATCCATGCCTTCCCTCGTGCCATCTCCTTTGGAGATCATGCAAACAGGAACAGGACTATGGAGGCGTATGCTAACAGGGGTTTCCCCAACTGTTGGCGATGCAGAGATTACACCCTCTTGTACATCGATAAGCCCAAGAACAAGCACCCCCCACCCATGGAGAATGTAGTAGGACTTTGAAAAGTAGACATACTGTAAGTGAGCCTTGGCCTCTTCAGTCCTTAGAGGACCGCCAGACATGACCCTTCTAGCCTGCCTACGCTCTGAGCATACAATCTGCTCCCTCCTTCTTTTGTTTGTTTGTCCGAACCATCACAAATATCCAATTGCCATTGCTGAATATCCAATTGCCGTTGCTGAAGGAGGGAACAAATCAGGAAAATCTTCGGTGGATCCCAACCGGGCACCGTGTTATGTAACCATCCATTCATGGAAGATGAGGTGCTAACCTTTCTTGAAGGGGGCAACACTACCCTCTCCCCCTGGCCATGACACATCGCCCAGCCCCCCCTCCTACCCTCCCAGCCAGTCCTTAGAGAACTTTTGAATTGCCCATTGAATGTCAATTTTTTGTTGGAAAGTTCGTAACTTGGATTTTGTGTTAGATCATTCAGCACGAAAGCACGAACATGTTTTATATACCAATAGTGTCCATAGCACCGCTTTTCGTGAAAGGGAAAACAAATTCTGAACAAAATCAGAACTGGAAGGAGGGTTCCAAGACCCCAGGAGAATAGCACGTCAGTCCCGAGGCCACTCCATGTTTGTCGGCTTCCGCCAAGTTCAGTCCAATCTTCATCAAAAGAGGGTCGAATCAGCGCAAAAAAAAAAAAAAAGTTCGATACTTTCTTGGATCCGCCAGCTGGGAAATGCTATGCAAAAGGACTGGCACAAAGGTTGAGCTAGGCCACGTTGTTCAAGAGAGGCACGATCTGTCAACCAGTTGCTAGTGGGAAGACAACGATGTACAATTTGCCACAGTAGAGAGGATGCTCCTTCAGCCCACAGAGCCAACGTACAAGTCAGAGGATATGAACATCGAGATTTAAACGATTATCATTAACAATCGCTTTAACATCCACGCGTGGCTGTCACATTCAGCAAGTGGCTTTGACTGAGGGGGACAAAAGTTTCCTTGACCCACCGTTTTTGCCCGTCTACATTATCCATTCCACCGGGTCGATCACAAGTTCAGGGATGAGACGCTCAAGATTGTCGGCTTTACAACCGTGTCTGGAGGGGTCTGGAGGGGTCTATAAGAACTCGACCTCGGTAACGTGTTGTGGTTGGAAAGAATATTGCATGCTCAGGTTGGATCCGCGAGAGGGATTGACCTTTATGCAATAAGTAGAGCTTCGCAAAAGTTCGCTCAAAAAGGACATTCGTTATGTTCCCTATGGTCTAGGTCCCATCCAGATGAAGGGTCACTACTCGGTCTGACTCCAGTAGGATAGGCCCCCTCTTTAGCGTAACGACCCATGACAAAGGCATTGAGCACATGATATGTTTCCAGTTATCAGGTAGATGGTGAGCATAGCGGAGCATCATTCGAAGTTGTTTTGCCGATTTCCAATGTTTCTTGGTCGGGTTCCAGAGGTCTTTGACTTATATAATTTCATATTCGACCCAGCTAACCCAAGGAGGATCCCAACTAATATACATACAACCTCTCAAGTTTGTAATCCACTGATTACCAAACAATGGTTGGTGTAGCACCTCCTCGTATCGAGTGGTGAAGGGTCTATCTGGTAAGGGTAACTGATGCTAGGTGCGTAGTAGGGTGACCCATGAGTCATCCAAAGCTAGATCGATACGGGCGGTGCCTTGTTCGCGAGAGGCTTGAGGCTGGGGGTGCGCTCTGGGAGACCCTAAAACCGGACCTCCGCCCGAGAAAGAGGGTGAGTGTCCTCGATGGTTTGGGGTGCCAAACAATGAATTTGTTATAGCGCCCCATTCCACCATGGAAGGATTGTGGTCATTATCAAACGTTCAAGCCATTGGATGGCCAAAGCTTGACACTGTAAGGCTGGATCTAGAATGCCCATACCACCTTTGGATTACCCTCACAGCTGGCCGCGCCTTCGAGCGCACCCCCTTCCTCCTCTGGCTCTGATAGAAGATAACATTGTGTGTATAGGTCTTTTGAGCAGGAGTCTTCATGGCCCACAAAGCTTGAATTTGTAAGCTTACTTTTTACTCAGTGGTTCAAGGTTTATTTTTTTGGAGAGTTACTTGATTCAGTTGGGATGCTGGACCCGGTTTTCAGCACTAGCATTGAAAGGTCCTAAGCAGCCTAGGATTTTGAGATTTAGGGCCTCGTTAGACACTCCTTGTGGACCCGAAATCCACAAGGAAATGATCGTTCACCTATCCTTGGGGACGATTCTCAAAAACAAATGTGAAAACACCAGAAGGAGATTTCCTTGTGGCATCCTTGTGGCCACAGCCAATTTTTCCTAACCCCCAAGGGACCTCCCAAGGTCCCTCGGAGCACAAGGAAGCGCAAATTTTGGAGCGGCGAAGGCATGCGTCGACGCACAATTTCGGTTCGAGGGTGGTCCAGACGTGGTCCAGCGAACCGGAGCACGGACATCCCTGCGTCCAAAATCTGCACGGCGCCCCAACGGCTCCAAACGGTAACCGGTGGCGTGAGGCCTCCGTCCGTCGACGCGAATTGCCGGCCGGCGTCCACTGAGGTCCGCTGCGGCGGGCGATCGTCGACAACAGTCCGAAATTCAAATGATTTTCCCACCCGGCGCCCCTTTCGATGACGACAGTCTCATTGGACAAGATCGTCGTTTCCTTCGATTGTCGTCACGCCTCGCACATTGGAGCACAAAACTTCCACTGATCTTTCTTGTGTCGACCGGCTTGTTCGTTAAACGGTCGACCGCCGACGTCACACTGAAGCCCTTCGAACGACCCTTACATGGGCGACCTGCTGCACAGGCTGCCTCTGCTGGTCCTCGTCGTCGTGCTGCTTCTCGTCGTTGTCTTCTTCCACGTGTGTTTCGTCGGCCTCGTCCCGCTCGCGGCTCTCAGAAGGAGATCTTCGAAGAAAGCTGACAGGATGGATCGACGACTGGGCAACGGCAGACCGGCAGGCACAACCTCCGGAGCGAGCAATCGGCAACRCAGTGCGGRSTCTGTGGCGAARCRGCCGTACGACCCGAGGTTGTATGCACACCTGCCTTCTCACGAGATTCCTCTGCCGCCGTCGGATGACGAGGGGGGAGACGCCAGGTCGTCGACTTTGCCGTTGGGAAGTGGTTCGACGCAGGAATGGGCGGCGACGCAGTCGTACGGCGGCAGGCAGATGGAGACCTCGTGGTCTTACACGTCACTGCTGAACGAGGGGTTGTGCAACAACGACGGCAATGCAGCGGTTGATCTCATCAGCTTTCAGTTGTCCAGCAGCAGTGGAGCAGCGGCAATGCACACTCGGATCATCAATCCCCACCTGGGTGGGGATTGCGCGGACAACACGCATGGTCGTGTGTGCGGGCCGCGAGACGGCGGTCTGCCTCAATCGCTTCGTGAAGGTGGTGGTAATCGGAATGAGCCAACGACGACCGTCGGAGGAGGAGTCAGTCTGCGTGAACATCCGGGGAGGATGCGGTTGTCACCTGCGTCGCGAACCGGATCCGACGCTCCTCCTGGACGGCAGAGGCCGGAGGATTTACGTGAGGGAGGTGCGGACGTGCACCGCGACGGCAGGCAGCTGAGGACAGAATGCAGGCATGTGACGAACCACTTCCCGACCCCGTGCTATCTTTCGTACCCCTTGACTCGATTCCCCCTTTTCTATCATACCGACCCAACAAAACCCCCGTCGCTTTTCTTGATTTCAAGTGCCTTGTTTAGGCCCCCATTTTTTGGAAGTTCCATTGGTTCTTGGAATTCTTCTTTTTGTAATTTGGGAAATGCATGGGAAATTACGCGCGCCTTAGCGAGCGCATTGGGAATCGGGCTCGACAGTTAGGAATTCCGGAGTAAGCGAAACCCGACGTGTCTTTTTCTTTGCATGAATATTCTCGGTCACGTTGGAGAAAACTCTATGAATTTTGGGAGAATACGGATAGGCATAGAACTTTCTTTTCCCGCGTCGACTTTCGCGCGTGGATATGGCGCTTTCAATTTTTGAATTGGTGTAGGACATAGGTAAGCTGTAACTGTTTTGGTGCCTTTTTCTCTTGCTGTCGGCACCACGCATGCGAGCTTCCTCCTCCTTATTTTCNCGCTGTATCTAGACTGGAAATTGGATTAAATACGGGCCGTTAGATACAGCAGTAATGACTGGAAACTGCCGTTCGAATCCACTACCACAACCGTTGCACCCAAAAAAATCCACAGTGGTCCAAGGGCCTCGCCGCACCACTCACCAAACGCACAAACGACAAAAAAATAATCACCGCGTATCTTTCCATGCTCGTGCGGAAGATTCATTATCTTTCCATGCTCGTGCGGAAGATTCATTTCCATTTTCGACATCGTTAGGTGATTGGTTCGGCGAGGCCCTCAGCAATCAAAGATATTTAAATAGACGTGGATTCAAACATAGGCATCGCACTTAAAGAGTTTAATTCGACGAATGGGATAAAACCCTGATCGCCCCATCATATTCTGAACAGCACAAAGAGAGAGAGAGAGAGAGAGAGAGAGAGAGAGAGAGAGATTGCTTACATGCACACAGCTGAGAGAGAGAGAGAGAGAGACAGACAGACAGACAGACAGAGAGAGAGAGAGAGAGAGAGAGAGAGAGAGAGAGAGAGAGAGAGAGACAGAGAGAGAGAGACAGACAGACAGACAGACAGATAGACAGACGGACAGACATAGACACAGAGAGAGAGAGAGACAACCAGACAGAGAAAGAGACAGGGAGAGGGGACCGAGAGAATCTCGACAATCAGTTTTCCTTTTTTCCTTGACACTCCAAGCAGAGTTCTCGCATGAATTCAGACATACAGGCAAAGCAGACACCTCAACGCAGCAACAAAAGCGCAGGCAAGGCAGTGTACAAGACTGAGAAAAAGTGAGGGGAAAACCAATTTCGAACGGATAATGGAATGTGATCTGGTCTCCGAGATCGACGACGATTGACATCACCCAACCCTGCCGCTCCGCACGTGCCCTCCCGCACTTTGGAGAGTGATAAGAGCTAACACCCTGACGTTAACTCATCATTGCACCGCCATCGCCCGATTGCATGACGGTCACCATCACCGCCATCGCCGCCATAGCCCGACTGTGCGACTATGATCATCGCTGGCATCATCGCCCAGTTGTGTGACAGTCACCATTGCCGCCATCGCCCTGTTGTGTGACAGTCACCGTCGCCATCGTCGCCGCCATCGCCCGATATTGTGACGGTCACCATCACCGCCATCGCCGCCGTCGTCCGATTGTGTGACGATCGTCATCGCAGAAACCATCGGTAATCATCCCCTTCATCGCCGAGTTGTGTGACTGTCACCATCGCCGCCGTCGCCCTGTTGTGCGACGGTCATCATCGTCATCGCCGCCATCTTCCGGTTGTCACCATCGTCGTCAGATGCTCTGTCATCGCCTTTATCGCCCAATTGCGTGACTATCAGTCATCATCGTCGCCACATATCTTCAGACGTGAGCGCCAGAAGGGTGTTGTTTTCCGTTTGTATACCCTTCCGTTCCGTAATAATACAAAAGTCAGGCGACAGTTCGATTCCATACCTGATCCTCTTCTCTCCTTTCCTCTCTCTTGTCGCACAAAGCCGCCGCCATCGCCGGCATCACCAGGTGAACGGCATCTTCCCTTGAGCCAGGGCCGCGACACGTGGCAGTACATGGATGGAACAAGCTCCTCGCTATACTGCCTGACCCATACGTATTATTACCAAAAAGCAGCGACAGTCCGAATCCATAGCCGACACGTGGCCGTTCGTTAAAACACGTGTTCATGTCCGTTAAAACACGTGTTCATGTCCATCGCTCAGTAAGTCTTGCAGCTCCTCATAATTCTTCTCCTTCTGCTTCTTCTCCTTCTGCTTCTCCTTCTGCTTCTCCTTCACGCAACATATCTTTACAAGAATCATGCCCTGGCGATGAACTTGTGGGTTCTCGGATTGATTGACGCACGCAAGGACGGTGGGATATTAATCAGTTGGTTGGTTAATTATAGTACAATTCCAGACCCATGCCGTCGTGGATTTCGTAGTCCGCCAGAGTTATGTGATCCTTGTAGATCGTGTACCATTTCTGTATCCTAATCTTCTCAGGCCGCGTCCCCGTTTGCGCCGCAACTAGCTTCTTCAAGTCTCCAATGGTGTCATCCTCGTTGCATTTCACACGCACCTTCTTCCCCAACCGATCGTTCAACACCACCTCAATCATCTTCTCTCTCTCTCTCTCTCTCTCTCTCTCTCTCTCTCTCTCTCTCTCTCTCTCTCTCTCTCTCTCTCTCTCCCCCCCCCCCCCCTTTCTTTTGTCTCCCTCCTCTTCTTCTCCTATCGCAACCGTTTTTCCCTCTCTCTCTCTCCTCTCTGCTTTTTGCGCGCCTGTTTCCCTTTCTTGATCATCTGAATCTTCGACCCGTCTCGCGCTGCTTTTCGCGCCTCGTTCCTTCTTGCTCTTCAACCTTGGCTCACGAAGCCCGGCTGATCCTCCGATTATCCCTGCTCAACAATCAGACGCGTTGAGCAAGAGGATCTTCCTATTGTGCGGAAAATCTGATTGGCCGAATATCGGGTTCCGAAGGATCAACATGGCTTCCCTTGAGCACCCCTCGCTGAGCCTTCACCTCTTACACTTCGAATTTCCCTGTGTCTTCTCCCCCGTCTGCCTCATTTCTCGCAACTATAAATTCCGCAAGCGCGCCCACAAATCTCTCTTGCGTTTTCCACTCACAAGCCAGCTTCCGAGAAGCAGTGGCTAGGTGATGCGTTTGGTGCGAGTCGAAAAGTCCTGTCGGGCCGACTGTACACTGGCCGGTTGTGCGCTTGATCGCCACGACGGACTATGGGATCCGGGCGAGCCGAGTCGAGTCTGCGTCAGCGGGGTGACGATCGTAGTGGCGGAAGTTAGCACGCGACGGTCAGGATCGTCGGTGCGGGTGTGAGTATCGATAATTAGAGTGGAGTGGATGATTGGCCCGGGGCCATACTGAGAGTTCACGGCGAATGCGCCTTCATTGCGGATCATTTTTTTGGTGTGAGTTCATGGCGGCGAAGCCGAATGTTCCCTTGTTGGATTCTGATGTCTCCTATCTCGACATTCTTCGACTTTTTTTTTTTTTTTCTCTCTCTCTCTCTCTCTCTTTCTCTCTCTCATCTCTCTCTGATTTGAATGACGATGTACTACGAGTTCGTCTCTCCTGTGAACCGAAGTGAACTCTTGTGACTCCCTGCGATAAAGAACTTTCGAAACTCTTCCATTAGTTTCCTGGGTGATCCCCGGATGCAAGGGAACCCCATCACCTTGTCTTGTGAACGGTGGATGCGTGTGTACAATCCCCCGATCTACTTCTGACCTGTGCATCGTTGTCATTTTCGCGCCTTCCACAGTGGATGTACAGTATGAAGATGCTTGTATTTTCGCATTGATTAGACACAGATCTTAACAGGACTTTGTTCGAGAATGCAAGAGTGTTTAGATATGTCGTCCTGAATGTACTGCGCATGCCATCTGCCTTATGTTGCACGACATATGCATACAGTTTATGGGGCCGCCTCGAAAAAGTCAGGCGCCTCGGATTGTTGTCGATCTGATCTACTGAAACTGAGTCGCAAGTTGATCCCTCGAAACCCCAACCCGATTATTTGCATGGTTGCATGGGCTATGAAAGATGTCTCCCTCCTGTCGAAGGGAAGGAAAATACTAGTTAGTTCTTTTTCGATAGTGCTTTTTGATGACGTCTCGGGGTTTTTGCAAACTCATTTTGATTAATTGATATGTGGGCTAACGACCGCTCCTCGATCGGGCGCCAGCCTCCCGTATCTCCCTCGCCAACACGCCCCTTCCCTTACAACGAGGAAAGGACACGTGTTTGCAAGTGGGACGTACGAGAAGATGTCGCACGGATCGGCGGACAATATTACTTCCCTCTCGAAAATCGTTGTTCCGGGTTCGTGGATGCGGGCTTTGTCATTATCGATACGCACTTCCCACCCTACTCAGTATTGTTGTCATTTAACGAGTTAATCGTCATTCTGTAGACGGCAGTGGCGCCCCATTGGCTACGAACCCTGTGCACTGAGTGCCAGCGTTTTGATCGCTACGAATCAAAGGGTTTTCACTACCGGATACGGAGTGAAGACGAGCACAAGGAAAGAGCCACACGGCTGCGACCATCCACGTCGGACTCGGAACTGACCAACGAGCGACGTCCGAACTTGATACGGAAACGGGACACGCGGAGTGTACCAAAGCCCTTCCGCTCTAAACGAAAATCTGTAGCGCGGTGGGAAGCTCGACAATACGTTTTGGATTGAATTTGGATTTTTCTCTTTTCGCGTCGTGCCCACGTGCGCATTCAGCGACGCGCGAAAGCAACCGACTTATTTCATCGGGCCAACACGGGGGATTTCAGTTCTGTCTGTGTCCCCACACTCAATTTTCCAAAAATCCTTGGCACACCCCATCTTGCTGTTTTTCTGGGCCTTCTTTCCGCACTCTTAGCACTCCAAACGGAAGACAACATAGGGCGTGAGGTTGGTATCGGAGCCGACACATGTCGGTTCTGATGATAGTAAGTCGAACTGGCGAGAGGTAGAAGAATTCCTCAACCTGCTCGTCGAGATCGCGCAGTAACTCGATCAAGATCTGGTGGGGTTAGACAAGCTATGCTGATGGCCGACGGTAACGTAGCTCCCCCAGGGTGATTGTTAGTATTCCCGCCGCTTTTTCTTTCTTTCCTAATCACACCCACCCCGAAGCTTGGTTGGAGGTCGTCCAAGCTCAAGGATATAGCGTGGAGGATCTCCCCCGCGTCATCACCTTGCTGGTTCGCAACACGGCGCATGATTGGTTTAGGAAACACACGCGGGTAGATTCGAACACCTTCAAACAGGCGTTCTTGGCCAGATTTAATACGGTCAGCGAAGATGCCGCTTGGTATGTGCTCAAAGACTCGACCGCAAGAACCAGGGGAATTGCTGCCTTACTTCGGGGATCGATTCCAAACTACGTTGCACAAATCATGACAAGATGAAAAGTCCGCCCGAGATTTGTTCATCGATCATCTACGAAGTCCGACGCTGAAAGGTAAGCTACAGAAAAAGGTCCCCCCTAAAACGCACCAGCTATCCGCTATCATCACTAAAGCACTTAAGTTAGACCTGACGGATACAAAGAAATATATCAGTCAGGGAGACGAAGACATTACGGACACGATTCAGGATGTGCAGCGAAACGCCGGTCGTGGTTGGGAGCGGTAGAACGATTCTATCCCCGGCCTGATCATGACCTTCCCGAAGCAGCTGCCTCTGATATCCCGTCAGTTTCCTTCTCCCCCTCCTCCAACTCTCTCAATGAACCAACAGGTAGCCTGCTAAACCCAGAAGCTCCCAAAATCTCTCCCCTATGGCCATAACAAACATGCACTTGGCACATATGATCCACATAGCTACTACCAAAGAATCTGAATGGATGAGCAACCTAGTCCAAATGCAGGCGGCTCACATGGATCGAATGGAACAGATAATGAGCAGACTAATTAAGCCCAACCCGGCTCCTGCTCGACCTACCCCTGCATCGTTCCCGCTTTTGCCTGCACCTGGACATGCACTGCAGTACCCTCCTGCAACTAACCCGGTAGGGAAAATCGAATGCTACAACTGCAAACAGCCCGGGCATTTTGCCCGGGACTGTCCGCAACCAAAATGAAATCAGCCCCCACCTACCGCAACCCCCGTAGCTCTGAATCAAGGACGGGTGGCCGCATTAATGGATACGGCCCGAAACGAGGAGATCATTGCATACGCCCTTGAGCGACCCTCCCCCTCAATAGCAGTTGCGTCGACCTCGGGAACTTCTTCTTCCGAAGCTGCTGACGTGGTTGATCCGGTCGAATACCTTCATCTCGCCGGTATGATCGGAGCAATCCGACCAGCCCAGGATGATCTTGAATGGGTCGAACGCGAATCTAACCCCGGACCGCAGTTTCGGACGGGAGAAATTGATATACTACGAATGCTCAAGCAACTGGACATTCTCGTTCCGGTCCTAGTAGGGCATTTGCTCACCATATCTGAAGCAGCAAATGACAAGTTGTTGCAGCAATATCAGAAGAATCAAAAGCGATTTACATACCAGCGCATACAACGAATGTTGAAAAAGAAGAAGGAAGAAGGAGCGGAGGGTGTTGCATCACCTGAATCCGAAGTTGGTGAACCCGAAGCCACGCGAGTAGCTGCAATTTCTTTAGCTGAGAAAGAACACTTCGTGCGAGCTCCACCAGTGTTGTGGAAAAGTGATGAATGTGATTGCGAAGTATGGGGCAAACCTTTTAACGCTCCCATCGATACCGGCTCCTCTGCGGTCGCTATATCATTAGACACGGTAAAAAGAACGGGACGACTCAACTCGATTCTCCCTCAACCTGGCAAGGACCATTATGTCTCTGCCGACGAGGAAGCAATGAATATCGTAGGAGTCGTCGAGAATGTGGCCGTGAAAGTTGGACGGGTACACGTCCTCGTTAACGCTTTAGTCATAGATATGCACTCATATTCGGTGTTGTTAGGACTGCCTTGGGCAATGACGGTAGGTGCCAGCATGCATTTCGATTCCAAGCAGTTGGTGCTCACACAAACAGGAGGAAAACCTTCGACAGTCCCGTTGCGAATTTCAACCCGAACAGTAAAAAAGAATCCTAATCCTGCTCGAATAACGATGATTCAAGGTCCCGATCACGAGGAATTTTCATCCCCGGGTAATAGTAGCGGATTCGAAGAACAGGAGTGTGAAGAAGAGATGCCTAGTGAGAGTGAGTGGAAACACTTGGTCGAACTTTTCGAGCACGAAACCCCCGAGGAATTTCGGATGGTTCCCAGAGCCGCCCGAACCTTTCACTTGAGTCTGGAAGACAACGCGCTCGCGCCTATGGAAACCCAGGTCAGTCCTTCGACCTTTCTCGGAGAACCCATCTTGCAAATATCTGACCTGGCAGACGATTTGGAACCCCCTCGCACTTTGTACGAGGGAACACCTTCCCTCCGAGCACGCTATCAACAAGCGAAACAATACCTGGATGTTTCTGTTTTCCCTCCAAGATCACTGCTTACGACAGGAGTGACCATCGCTCTGATTAAACAAGAAGTCGAAGCTCCTGTCGACGCTGTGCCCGATCTGATGCAGGAAATCCTGGATCTAACATGACTAACCGTGAAAGAAACCTCAGCTGATTCGGAAACTGACGCCGAAGTTAAGGAGACCGAGATGATTAGCCCCGATGAATCCCAGATGATCGCGATTGTATTTTTTGTCCGCACTAGCAGTTCCATTTTCTCTAGCGTCCATGACCGACGGAATCGGCCTGCTGATTGGATCGATATGCCCCTTGAGATACCCGATCGACCGACTGTCACTCTGCCCGATCACGTCCCCCTGAAATTTCGACAATAACTGATTAACGTCTTCAATGGGTACGTAGAGGTATTAAGTGTGCGCGATAATGATATTGGGCTGTCTAACGTGATCGAGCATGCCATCCTTACGAGGGATCATCCACCCATTAGCTGCGTTCCTTATCGATACTCGCCAGCACAACGGGCGGCCGCGTTTCAACGAATTAAGGAATTTGAAGCTAATGGATGGATCGAACCCGCTATAGAACCTTGGTCGTTTCCTGTGGTAATCGTGCTCAAAAACGCCGGAGGGATTCACATATGCATCGATTATCGAAAGCTAAACGATATCACGATCAAGGACGTGTACCCCCTTCCCCGGATTGATGAGTTGTTGGATGCGATTGGGAGTGCTCAATTTTTCAGTAAGTTTGATGTTCGACATGGGTTTCATCATCTTCTTGTTCGAGAGGAGGATCGTCTGAAAACGGCCCCCGCAACCTTTCAGCGAGCCATGAACATGGCTTTCCAAAACTTTGTGCGGAAGACCCGTCTGACGCAGAGTATCATCAACTATTGCGTGATTGTGTACATAGATGATATTCTGGTGTATTCGAGTTCTTACGAGGGGCACGTGCAGCACATCGAGTGGGCGCTGCATGCATTGAGAGATGCCGGTTTCAAGGTGGCGCAAGAGAAATGTCAGTTCTTTCTCACCACCATTTCCTTCCTGGGACACGTGGTGATAGACCAGGGACTCAAAACGGAACCACAAAAGGTGGCAGCCGTGAGAGACGCACCTGTGCCCACGACTATTACGCAAGTTCGCGCTTTTCTGGGCCTGGCCTCGTACTACCGAAGGTTTATCAAGGGCTTCGCGGCTATTGCGGGACCCCTCACAAATCTGTTGAAAAAGGATCAGTCGTTGATCTGGACGCTAGAGTGTGATCAAGCGTTCTCAAAACTTAAGGCAACCCTTATTTCGGCTCCGGTCCTTATAAGACCGGATCTTGCAAAGCCTTTTGTCCTCATCACGGACTGGCAGTTGGAGGCAATCTCAGCGATCTTGGCCCAGATGGGACCAGGCGGACTCGAATGTATGGTGGAATACGCGTCTAAGTCGGTGCATGCTTGCAAGCGCAATTATGCCGCCCCGACAGGAAAATGCTACGCGGCTCTTTGGGGAATCAGTCACTTTCGAGCCTATCTGTACGGGCGGAAGTTCACGCTGGTGACCGATCATGAGCCATTATTAGCCCTGAAGAAATCTAAGGATTACTCGGGCATGATCGGGAGATGTGCGACGGTGCTACAGAGCATGGACTTCGACATTCGCCATCGAAAGCACGAGAGGCACGGGAATGCTGACGGGTTGACACGACTGCACCGACCCGAGAAGGTCCTCAAGAGCGAGGAAGTGTTTCCGTGGAACGAGCCGAAGGATGAGAACGGACCGCGGTACGGACAAGTGGAAATTTGATCGAAGGAGTGAGTGACACGGAGCTTCGCTCTGCCCTCTCTTCAGCCCTGGTCACTCTCTCTCCTCCCCTCTCATCATGGCTACCCCACCTGTTTCTGCGACCTCTTCCCCTGCTGATTCCGACCCTCTCGCCACCCTTCCCGACAAATTCTGCTATTTTTGCATGTGTATTACACAGGTTCATGGGGTGGATTGTCACCCTTTTGATATCAGATTCATTGAGTGGGTGAACTGTGCCACGTGTGTCAATCGTGCACACGGTGCATGCGTTCGATACCGAACGAATAGTAGGCAATGGACATGCCCTCTGTGTAGAACGGACAAACTCCCTACTGAGGCGCGATTCGAGGCTGCCCGAAGGGACGGCCCTGAATATGACGAGAAATACCGACGAGCAGAGGTCTGCACGGATAAAATTCTATTAGCTAAATTGGCTGGTTTACCATTGGATCACCTCACTAAGCACGACAGACGTCGGGCTACCGAAGAGATCCTGGGATTACCGATGGATCAACGGTCACCTAGAGAAGCGTAAAACTGTCAGATCGGGTTGTAGTTGACGGTTCCTCATCCATTCCAGAGATATGATTGGACCCGATCTGCTCACGAAGAGCAGGCCGCTCACTTTGCGATACGTGTCACGAAAGCAACTATAGATCACAATCGATGGTTCTGGTCTAATATACGGGACGATGTCAAATACGTAGTCGCCAACTGTCTGGTCTGTGCTGCCGACCGTCCCCCAATACGGGGACCAAACATGATAGTACCGACGGAAGTAGAGCGCCCTTTCTAGTGAGTCAGTATGGACAACAGATATCGACGTGCCACCTGGCCCAAACCGTTGCGAATATTCCACCCTTTTAGTTTTAATAGAGATCATTTTTCCAAATGCATCGAGGTCTACCCCTACAAGACCCGTAAGGCCGCAGAGATAGCCACGTGCATCGATCGGTTTCTCTATACCCACCTAGATACAGAGGAGATTCTAACCGACAACGGGTCCGGATTCAAAGGCGAGGTAGAGGAATTACTCGCACGACGAGGCATTACGCTTCGATACACGGCACCCCACGTTTCCCAGTCGAACGGGTTGGCCGAAAATGCCAATCGCATGATTAAGACTGCCCTCCGTAGAAATCTAGCGGCGCGTGACACGCGTCCTTGACCCGAGATCGGATACCAAATCGTCGGAATACACCGGGCCACCCCTCACGAATCCATGGGGTTCACCCCCTTTCAACTTCGGACCAATAGCCTCCCATGTGTCGATTACCGGGGCAACTCGAAAATTGTCGAAGCAGGGGGTAGAGACACGCGTGCCGCCCTCAAGGCCAAGGCCAAAAGGTACGCCGATTCAATGGAAAGGGCAGTCCCGAAGCTAGCCCGAAAGAGACAGAAAATGACTGATCTAAGCCCACGGAAGGCAAGTCCGTAGCTACGAGGCCCGAAATGGAAACGTTGGTCCCCAACATCAATATAAATTAGGGGACCTGGTGAAGGTACATAAATGTGCACGCGACCGGAAACTCGCTCCCAAATTCTCGGGCTATTTTCGCATTGTCGAGCTCGGACCCAACGGTGCCAATACGGTGCGCATTGAACCCGAAGCTAGCGCCAGCCATAGCTTTGTCCCTATCGTCCGCCATATCTCTTACATTCGTTTCCTCCCTCCTTCTGATCCCCCTCCGTCTCCCTCTTTTGCTGAAGACGAGGACGGCGAAAATCTAGCTTCCGCCTCGTTCTCTCCCTCTTGTTCTTATCCCTCATCTTCCTCCCCGTCCTCGCTATGAGTTTCATCACGCAGCAAGCTCTTGGCAATCATCCGCCGCAGCCACGGGGCTACATCTCGGAGATCCGGCAAGTTCGTTATCCGCGGCTCAGTCCTGATCTACGACGATTGGCGCAGTTCTTCTACACCGAGGGCGTGTGTGCCGCCGCTGCGTTCCGATTTGCCAAAAGTTCGCAAGCAGTAGTGTTGGCGGAGGTGGTAGCATTTCATCGGCGAGCGGCTCCAGGAACGAGCCACGTCACCACTGTCGCTGCCTTCAGCGGCGATAGCAGCGCGGTTAGCCCGCTTCGGCATACCGCGATCCTGACCTCATTGCGGGAGTGGACGCAGCAGTTATCAACTAAGTGGCATCACGGTCTTGCGCGCCTCGGGTGCAACCTCGTCCCAACGTGCGGGACCGACTTCAACGAGCTCCGTACCTCTACGCGCCAGCCGGCAGCGGTGCTCCCCACCCTCGTCCCCTTTCAACGCCCCCAATGAACCGCGCCACCCCTCTCGCTCCCCTCTCCACCTTCCATCTTCCCTCTCTCTTCCCCACCTTCTGGCAATCCGATCTTCACCCCCGCCTTTCCTTCTTGCTCGAGCCCCTTGCAATCCCGCTCCTCAATCTCAGGCATTGGCGAGTGTGGCGCGAGACTTTTGTCGATCTGTCTGTGTGCTTGGCTCGAGTGGAGGTGACGTGGACAAGGACCGACGAGCATCAGGCGTGTATTGAGTACCTGGAGCTGCTGATCATCCAGGCTTGGAGAACTAACGTGGAGGGCGATCTTCTCGGTTTTCTTTTCGGATCGGTGCGGCCAGGCCATCGCCAGGAAATTGTCCAGGAACTCGTTGTCCCGCTGTAGCAACTTGTCGACGACCTCTCTCTCGATATTGTTTCGCAAAGTGACGAGAGTCCGGCTCCGCACGTCGTTACGCGAACCTTGGCACCGTACCTTCAGTGGACTGCATGCTTGGAGGAACCGGGGAGTGAAAGCACCCTGCCATCGCGGCAGGAGTACGTGAAGTCGTCCGGGGTCATCGATCTTGCCTTCTATCCGAAGCAAGATACGTCCGAGGAGGCGGTAGAAGAGGAAGAGGAGGAAGCCACCGAAGAAGAAGGCGACGTCGAAGAAGAGACGCAGGAAGAAGGGAGTTATAATGACCACAACGAAGGAGAGCAGAGTGAAGAAGAAGAAGAAGAAGAAGAAGAAGAAGAAGAAGTCGGATCGGAGTGGGAGACCTTGTCGGAGGAAGCGGCGCGCACAGGTATGGAGGCGGAAGATCCCGAGGCAGCACGTAAGAGAGAAGAGATCGCCGCCGGGAAAAGCCAGCTGGAATTTGCCGGCGAGGCGAACCTGCGCATCGACGACGACCCGACCAGGGATTCAGAGCCCCCCGAGCCCGAAGATGGCGGCCCAGCAACCGCGGCTCCGAGCGCATCGCGGCGGAGACAGAGTCGATCCCCCTCCCCCTCTGCCCCAGCCCATCCCCCTGTTCGTCCACGTACCAATGCGAGGGATCGGCCTTCGTCCCCGGTCATTATCCCGCCGTCCCCTTGATTACCTCACCCTCTCTCAGATCTCTACCCTTGTCACCTTCACTCGCAACCCCTTCCCTCCCAATACCTTCCGTCACTTTTTCTCCACCCGCCTCGCCGTCACCGTCCATCCCCATCCTTCCCTTCAATGCGCGAACCCCACGTTTTACTTACGCGTCCTTTTGTTCAGTGCCGCGTGGGAACAGAGCAACTCAGTAGAAGTCTGCTGCGTAATCAGAGGAACCATCCCCGCGTGTCACCATCTCGAGCTGTTTCGCGCAGCACTCTTCCGCACTTTCTCCACCCTCTACCCTGACTACCTTGCCTCCCTCCCTCAAAGCGGCGATCGATTTCCCCGCTTTCATCGGATCATCCGCTACAAGGACCTTCCGATCACAGAGGAAGGGATGAACCGCTACCTACCCCCACTTCCTCCCAACCCTCCCCGTCGACACCCCCCCATATATAAAGTCTACTTTCCCATTCCCACGCGGCGTTGATACCCGCCACGTGTCCCCCCAGCAACACGAGGCAACAATTTTCGCGAAGATCACGCCATTGACGATGACGTCAACTCGTGCTCTGATTCGATGGATTGCGCAGGGCTAAGGGTGCAGAGCACACAGAGATCTGATGGACCATGATTGTGCCACCTGGACGATCTCCGAAGTTCGAAGGACAGGGGGTTGCATATGACAGGACTGCAGGAAACGGGATTCGAAACAGCACGAGTCGGCATGCTTCATGGAGATTTTGCCACGGATGTTGTCGCTACCTCATCGTGTTGATCTTCTACTTCTTCCTACTTCTTCGTCTCCTCCTACTTACTTGGTTCAAGGTCTTTCATGCAATCAGGAGATCTCATAGTTTGGGAACCCCCTGCGCGTCACATATGTGACGAACCACTTCCCGACCCCGTGCTATCTTTCGTACCCCTTGACTCGATTCCCCCTTTTGTATCATACCGACCCAACAAAACCCCCATCGCTTTTCTTGATTTCAGGTGCCTTGTTTAGGCCCCCATTTTTCGAAAGTTTCATTGGTTCTTGGACTTCTGCTTTTTGTAATTCGAAAAATGCACGCGCGCTTTAGCAAGCGCACTGGGAATCGGGCTCGACAGTTAGGAATTCCGGAGTAAGCGAAACCCGACGTGTCTTTTTCTTTGCATGAATGTTCTCGGTCACGTTGGAGAAAACTATACGAATTTTTGGAGAATACGGATAGGCGTAGGACTTTCTTTTCCCGCGTCGACTTTCGCGCGCGGATATGGCGCTTTCAATTTTTGAATTGGTGTAGGACATAGGTAAGCTGTAACTGTTTTGGTGCCTTTTTCTCTTGCTGTCGCCACCACGCATGCGAGCTTCCTCCTCCTTATTTTCTTCGTCATCTTTTCCCCGCTCTCTCTCTCTCTCTCTCTCTCTCTCTCTCTCTCTCTCTCTCTCTCTCTC